AAGCTGAACTACAGCGACCATGATGTCATCAAATGGGTGCGGTACATTGGCCGCAGCGGCATTTATGAAACCCGCTGCTAGCTGTCCAGTGGCAGCTAGCCCACCTTCCTACCCACCCTCTTCTGCAGGTCCAGGCGCCCCCAGCCACCACACATCAGTGTCTCCTCCCTTCTGCTTTGCTGCCTTCCCTTTGCACCAGCCCCTGAGTCTAGGTCTGAACCAACTGCATCGCAAGTGGGACTGGTGGAGCAGTCCCTGGGCTCCCTGGGCAGGGTGGTTTCTGGGACTCCTGCTCTTCCTAATTCATCTGTGTATCCTGGCCTAGTGCCAGGCTRAGTTCTGTGACCAAAGCCAGGTGGGTCCCCTTCCTCCCCACCCCCGTGGCCATACCTCTGGAGTGGGAGGGTTGGCTGCCCCTCACCTCAGAGCTCCCCCAAAGGCCAGTAACGGATCCCTAATCCTCAATCCCTGTTCTGCTTTGGGATAGTGTGAGCTTCATTTTGTACAAGTGTGACTTCGTCCAGTTATAAACCCAATAAACTCTGTAGAGCGGAAAAAAAAAAAAAGGGGATGAACGTCCATGGCCAGTACCCACATGGCAGGGTACTCAGTGTTATTAAGCATCGTGGGAAAGCATGCTAAAGCACAACGTGACACCAAGGCCCCAGGTTCAACCCCCAGTGCCACTACCAAAAAACAACAACAACAAAAAAGACTTCTTTCTGCATTGCCTCCCCTTTCCCATTGCCTCTTGATCTCCTTCTACCCTACAGATCTTCCCCGTATCTTTGTGATATTCCATCCTTCCCTCCCCGTTTCCTTTATTTTACTCTTGCTTCCACATAGGAGAGAAGACATCTGGCCTTTGAGTTTCTGAGTGCGATTTATTTCACTTAGCATATGTTCTCCTGTTCCATTCACGTACCAGCAAAGGTCATAATCTCATTTTTCTTATGAAAAATGAGTAGAACTCCGCTGAGTACGTATACAATTTCTTCATTCATTCATCCATTGAGGGGCATCTGGGTTGATTCCATAACTTAAGTATTATGAATTGTGCTGCTATAAACATTGAGTAGGTGGTACCACTGTAGTATTCAAATTTAGATCTTAGGGAAAACACCCAGGAGTGGGATAGCTGGGTCATAGGGTGGTTCTATCCTCAGTTTTTTGAGGAATCTCCCTCCATACTGCTTCCCGGAGTGGTTGTACTAGCCTCCAGTCCCACCAACAATGTACAAGTGTACCTCTGCCCCCACATCCTCACCAGCATTTGTTATTGTTATATTCTTGATCATTGCCATTCTGACTGGAGCGAGATGAAATCTGAGTGTAGTTTTGATTTGCATTTCTCTGATTGCTAGAGCTTTTGAACATTTTTTTTTCATATATTTGTTGGCCAATTGTGTTTCCACTTTGGAGAAATTTCTGTTTGGCTCTTTTTGTCTATTTATTTATTGGGTTATTTGTTTTTTCAGTGTTCAGTTTTTTGAGTTCATCATACATTCTGGATATCAATCCCATATTGGAGGAGTAGTTGGCAAAGATTTTCCTCCCATTCTGTAGGCTCTCTCTTCATGCTCTTACTTGTTTCCTTTGCTATGCGGAAGATTTTCAATTTGATGGCACCCCATTTGTTGATTCTTGGTGTTGTTTCTTGAGCTTTAGGGGTCTTGTTGAGAAAGAAGGTGCCTGAACCTACATAATGGAGTGTTTACTCTATGTTTTATTCTTGCACTTGTAAGGTTTCTGGTCTAACTCCTAAGTCCTTGATTTATTTTGATTTTTGTTTTAGGCAGGGTGAGAGATAGGTATCTAGTCTCATTTTTCTACATATAGCTATCCAGTTTTCCCAGCACAAGTTAAAAAGGCTTTCTTTTCTCCAAAATATATTTTTGGAGTCTTTGTCAGGTATCAGATGGCTGTAAGCATGTGGGTTTGTCTCTGTGTCTTCTGTTCTATTCCACTGGTCTTTCTGTCTGTTTTGATGCCAATACTATGCTGTTTTTGTTACTACAACACTGTGGTATAATTTCAGATCAGATATCGTGGTGTATCCTGCTTCACTTTTCTTTCTTAGTGTTGCTTTGGCTATTCTGGGTCTTTTATTCTTCCAAATGAATCTAAGAATTTTTTTTCTAATTCTGTGAGAAATTTCATTGGTACTTTGATGGGGAATGCATTGAATCTTCTGGTAGCATTTTTTTTTTGGAGGGGGGTCTTCTAGATATAGGATCATGTCAGGCAGAGATAGATTGACTTCTTCTTTTCTAATTTGTATCCATTTGATTTCCTTTTCTTGCCTTGTCACTCTGGCTAATGTTTCAAGGACTACACTGAATAAAATTGGTGAGAGTATACATCCTTTTCTTGTTCAGGATTTTAGAAGAGATGCTTTTAGTTTTTCTACATTTGGTATGATGTTGGCTCTGGGTTTGTCATAAATAGCTTTTACAATGTTGAACTAATTTCCTTAGATCCCTGTCTTCTCCAGTGTTTTTAACATAAATGGGTGATGGATTTCATCAAAGGCCTTTTCTGCATCTATTGATATGATTATAAAATTCTTATACTTAATTCTACTTAAGTGGTGAGTTACAGATTTGTGAATGTAGAACCAACCAATCATATCTGGAATGAAATCCCTTGATCTTTATGTGTTATCTTCTTCTTGTGTTTTAGAATGCAGTTTGCTGATATTTTATTAAGGATTTTTGCATTTGTGTTAATTCAGGATGTTGGTCTGTGGTTTTCTTTCCTTGACACATCTTTGTCTAGTTTTGGCATCAGGGTTATACTAGGTTCATAAAAAGTATTTTTTCTTTCAATTTCATAAAGTAATTTGAGAAAGACCATTTTTAGTTACTCTATAAAGGTCGGGTAGAATGCATCTTTTCCTGTTCTTTTCTTTTTTGGGAGGCTTTTAATTGCTGTTTCATTACATGATATTGGTCTATTTAGGTTTTCTATGTCTTTCTAGTTCAATTTAAACAGTCATATGTGTCTAGAAATTTGTCAATGATTCCGAGATTTTCCAGTTTATTGGAATATAAATTTTTAAAAGATATTTTTTAATTATTGATGGACCTTTATTTTATTCATTTATTTATATGTGGTGCTGAGAATCAAACCCAGTGCCTCACACATGCTAGGCAAGCACACTACCTCTGAGCCACAACCTCAGCCCTGGAATATGAATTTTTGAAATGGGTTCTGATGACCCTTTGGATTTCAGAAGGGTCTGTGGTGATGTCTCATTTTTCACCTGTAATATCATTGATTTGGGTCTTCTATCTCCTTCTTTTGGTTAGTTTGGCTAAGGGTTTATTGATCTTATTTATCTTTTTTGAAGAATCAACTTTTAGTTGCATTGATCCTGTGTGATTTTTTTTTTCATTCTCAATTTCCCCAATCTTTGCTCTGATCTTAATTATTTCTTGTCTTCTACTGATTTTAGAGTTAGTTTGTTCTTTTTCTAAGGTCTTGGAGTATACCATAAGCTTATTTATCTCTCTACTTTTTAAAATGTAGGCTCTCAGTGCTATAAATTTTCTTCTTAGAACCATTTTCATACTGTCCCAGAGATTTTGATATGTTATGTTTCTATTATCATTTGTTACTAAGAATTTCTTGATTTCTACCCTCATTTCTTCTTTGAACCATTTTTTCATTTAAGTAAGTATTGTTCAATCTCCATGTGTTTGTGTATTTTRTATTATTCCTCTTGCTGTTTACTTCTGGTTTCATTTCATTATGATCTCACAGGGGGCATGAAATTATATTAATTATTTTGGTATTTT